TGTAAAAAAATTAAGTCTGTCCGTTTTTAGGAGGCAGTGCAAAAACGTTTCCCTGTAAAAATCCTCTTTCAAAAAACAGAGGAAATACATGGAATAGATGTTTTTTGCATTAGATAAGAGAAAAAAGGAAGAAGTAAAGGAGCAGGGAAAAGAAGTAGGGCAGCATACATAAGAATGATAACTAGGAAAATAAAATCAAATAAAGGAATTTACACCCTGACATGGCAAAGAATTGAAAGTTATGTGAAATATAGGAAGCATGAAGTTTATACTTTGTTATTAATTTGAAAGACATACAGCAATTTAAAGTTCTTAAATAAAATGAGGCTTAAATATGCCTCTTATTAAATATGATTGAAAAACCTTAGTGAAGGAAGTAAAAAGAGAAGCAAGAGAGAGCAAAAGCATAAAGAATAAAATACAATTGCATAGGTTTCTGTTGAAGTAGCTAAAGGCATATCATGCATTAATGAATAAATATATACCTGTATAATATAATAGATTATATTATAGGTATCTATTATATTATAATAGCTAAAATATAGGAGTAGACTTACAATACATGACATGGACAAAGACTCATGAAGGTATAATATCATTTTCATAATATAGGTTTTATTAAGGAGAAACATTGATTTAAATGACAAATTTCTTGTCTCACTGGAGTCCTTGGGTAGTGATAGGGTTAGTACACTGCAAGTTCAGCTATTAAGTTACCTTGTATCTGTGGTTACAGACAGCATGGACACTGACATAGAAAGAGCATAAAGTGAAACTTTATGGAGGAGGAGATGTTCTAATATTAACTGAAGCTGTTGGTGTTTTGGCTGGCATATCAAAAAACAGTTTATATTTGACCTAAGTTTAAAAACTGCATAAAAAATTCATGCTTTTTGGATAGAAAAAGAACAGCAGGAAATGTGTTTAACAGTAAGTTGTATTTGCAGAAAAAGCTAATTCAAGTGTTTTGTCTGAAGTCAATTGCTTGTTTATTGATTACTGAAACAATAATGGGATGTGCTTAATAAACCAGTATAGGACTGTGTTCAGCATGCTAAATTACCAAAAAATTTACTGACTGATTTGGCTTTAAGAGCCAGGAATGAGTTATGTCTACTAAAAAATATTTGAAGCTGGGAAGTACCAGCAATGATAATGATATACAGATGAAGATCTGCAGGAAAGGCAAAAATAATATAAAGTCTTTTCAGAAAAACAAGGATTAGAAGAACATGAAATTAAGAAATGTATCTCTGTAGCACAGTGTGAATAAAGATTCTGAAGTCAAGAGTATGCAAACATAGGTAACAGACCAATGTAATGTGAACTAGAATACAAATTTTGGATGTGATGGAAACATAAACTATTTGAAAGAATTAAAGAAAATAGATATCTGAATTGACAACACCTAGGCCAAAATTGTACAAAAATCAAGAACTTTCTTTGAGCTTATTAATGGAGGAAAAAATAAATTTCCCTGCTCTATATGCTTTTAACATAAAAGACCTGGAAGTGATTAGCAGTATTGTGATGTGTTGTACTTCCCTCACCTGTAATCCAAAGTGGGATCTGGATACCACCCTGTATAATGTTTTAAGTCTTAAAAGCCTTGATTTTATTAAGTCTTTAAGCCTTGATCTTATTGAGAGGCTCAGGAAATGCTTAACGGTGTAGTATCAGGAACCCCAAAAATGCTGACTTTTTTTTTTTTTTTCCCAAAATTGCAAGATAAGTGCAATATGTGTAGAAGGGAAATCTGATTTGATTCATTTTCAGCCTGAAGGGTTTGACACACTTCTTGACATAGTTGACATAGTGCCCAACTCTGGGCAGACTTAACCAGGGATGCCACCCACTAGATTAGGTTGCCCAGGGCCTCCTCCATCATGGTCTTGAACACCTCCAGGGATGGAGCATCCACAGCTTCCCCGGGCAGCCTGTGCCAGTGCCTTTTCCTGCTTCTATTGAAGCAGATCACTATGTAGCAAGAATACATGTATGATATATGGAAGAGAAGGGAAAAAAATAATACAAACAAAAGCAAAAAGAATGAATAAATCTTAGAGAATAGAGTACATTCTGAGGAGAGTCTTGGGGGGCCTGATGGCTGGTGCAAAGACAGTACATTTTAATTGAAATGGTTAATTTAATTTATGGTAAATTTAATTTAATTGAAATGGTTGTTGTATTAAAGGTTAAGACCAAACACTCCCCAAACAAACAAAACTAAGCCTGTGGTAATCTGGAAATCCTGCTTTCATCTTTGTTTTATCTCAGTTTGACTAATGCTTCTCTTCCTGTTCTAATCAGTTGCTTCTCTACATTTTGGTTGTCAAAATATAGACATGACATTTGACTTCTTTTCAGAAAGACTGCATAAAATCTGTGTGCCACTGATATGTAGCACACCATGTGCAAGCTGTTACAAATGTTAATAGCTCGTCACCCTCTCAGTTGGTAAAACATACTTCTCAGAGGTAGCTACTTTTCACTGAGATGAAAGGTTTAGAATCATTACTAATCAACGTAATCTAGATATTTAACAGAGATATAGTAAGTAAAAACATAAATTCTTAAGCCACAATTAAGGTAATTTATGTATAAAGATATTTTAAACCAACCAACACTAAGACAGTAAGGAAAAAAACTCAAGTAGCTGAATAAACTTTCCCAAGGAAAAAAAAAATCAGTTTAAATTTACATACACAATATCGACTTTATACTAGTAAAATATGAATTTCTTCCATGACATTTTAAACAGCTGCTATTGATAGTCCTGCTGCTATTGATAGTCCTAATTCTTACTAAGCTTCCGGAAGTCCTCTTGCCTCTAAGTAGCAATTGATTTGTAGATTGGTTTTTATCCTTAGCTGTGATCCAAAACCAGTTTCAATTTTGGGAGATAAATAAGATAATTCCCCAGTAAGCCAATAACCAAACCTGGTTAATCTGCAAGAACTCTGTAATCAAATGTTCTATAAATTAAATTACCTGTATCTGAGGAAATGCACGATTGGAGAAAAGAGCTGGCCGCTAAGGCTTTGATTTGTGTGAACTATTAGTCATTGCTTCAACATTTTCTTAATCCCTGTGGAGTGTTTTTATTTTGGTTGTGTTAACATTGACATACAGTCATATTTATTAACAAGTACATGCTGTTCATGCAGGATTGGAAACTTGTGGTAATGTATGCAATATATATATTTAAAAATTATTTAATTTGTGATTAAGTTTATATACAGATGGATTTTTAAATTGTTTCTTAGCCATGTTGCCAAATCTATAAATTGCTGTGGCCTCTGTATCTCATTATCAGACAGCAAGAATTAAAATACGTTTATTATTGTTGGGTGAATATTTTTTCACTGAAATCTCCATACGTTTCTCAAGTACTATGAACGACAATGTGGGTTTAAAAATTATTGGCTGTGAATATTTGAATATAAAATAGAGAATTTTGTGTGAAAGGTATTACTTTAGGGGTTGTGAACTTACAGAATGTGTACTTAGATAATAGGACAGCTACTGTGCCAGAGTAACACTATAACATATATGTAACAATATAAGAATATGGGAAATCAGAGTGAAGATAAGATAGGGAAAGCAGCCCAGGAAACTGTTTCACACTGTAGCCAAACTGAATGTCCAGGGAAAAACACTAGAAGAAGGCAATATTTAGTGAAACTTTCCTACCCTTGATTTTTTTATAATTCAGGGACTTCCTGAGCCAGAGGCTTTTCTGTGTGTGTCTTATTTGCATTTGTAGTGGTTAGGCTGTCCACAAGCCTCCCAGAACCATGAGTCTACTAGCAGAATATCTGTGGGTGAAACATTACCCACAACAAAAGAAAGAAGACAGAATTATGGAGTACTTGAGCCAAATGGAGATACCCAAGCACTTGTGCCAGATGGGATACATACAAGGGAGTTATGTGGTATTGTTGTGAGGTTGCTCTCCATCATATTAGAAAGGTCATGACAGTTGTGGGAGACATTTGATGACTGAAAAAAAAAAAGCAAATATTGCACCCATCTGAGACAACCAAGACCTGGGGAGCTCAGGTTGGCGTCACTCCCAGGGAAAGTTACAGAAAAAATCTTGGAAGCTGTTTTCATGCACATGAAGGATATGAAGATGACTGGGAACAGGTAGCATTTATCAAGGCAACCTGATTGCTTTAATATTGCCATAAACTTAGTGTTCTTACAGTTTACCCCTTTTCTGTCTAGGCAAATTTGAATAGCATGGGCCCTGGAAACAGATAGCAGCAGGATTACACATACGGTCCCCCTCCACCACTGACTGGCCAGTTTTCCTACTTTCTTTCTCTCTCTGTCTCTCCCCCTATCCCTCTCTTTTTAAGTTAGTAGTGTGCATATATGAACTTATATGAATATCCCTCTCATTCCATGACAGCTTAGTGTTTATAAAATCTTTTGAGGCAGGACCTCATTTACAAGTATTTTTTAAATCCAAGATCACTCTGCATGCTTGTTCTTTCTTCTACAGAACTCCCAGCAGATTTGAGGCATAACTTCACAACAATCATCTTCCTTTTTCTGCAAGATGCCATATAATATTTATTCACATACCTCCAGATTACATTCTTGAGAACAGCTGAACTGACAGAGATATAAGGCATACTTTAGTACCCCCTTGGAAATCTTTGAAAGATTCAGTATATGTTACCTAGTTCTCATATATCAAGGAGCTTTTGAATAAGTGGCTATGTACATGTGTTCAGATACCATTTTTTTCCTGTTCATTCATGACCTTTCATTTTTCCTATAGATTCCATAATTCCTTCTGGTGACACTTTATTTTTTCAAGGCTCTTGAGCCACCATTTAACTTTCTATGTCAGTTCTATCTTGGTAGTGAAGCCTGCTCATTCTGTTAGGTGTGTCCTGGTTTTGGTGTATTTTGAGAATTGAAATGTCAGAGATGTCAGAGAAGAAAAAAGAAAACTAAATTACTGCAAAATCTATGTGGTGGAGGAATTTTCAAGACATTTTTTATTAACCATAATCCTTTATTAGACCTCACAGAGGTGTAAGCTATACATACAAATACATTAGAAAGATACCCTCTTAACAGTAATGCTTCACATTTTGGACCTGATACCAAGAGGGCTGCAAACATTTCAGTACATTCTACAAACCAAAGGGTGCATTAGCCTTTATGTATACAGAGTGACAAAGCCCTTTACTGAAATCAAAGTAGATAAAAGTGAAAATCAGTCAACTACCTCTTCCAACCTTTACCTACCATAAAAGCATATAAAAGCCTTTAAAAGCATGAATACACTATTATTTATGGAGCAGAGTTTAGTGTTGTAGACAGCTTGTAGAGAGAGGGGAAGAGAGTCATCAAGATGGCATTACATGAACTGCAAACTAGCAAAAATTCTTGATAATTTTTTATATTTGTACATATTAGGAGCTCTGTTTTTTTGATTTATTGGTCATTACTAGAAAAGCTTTTAAGTGCTAAATGGGGAGAATAGCGCAACAAAGACATTGTTGAGGTATTTGGGGGATTCTGCAACACAATGATGTTACATACACAGTATGAAATATTATTTGTCATCAAGTAGTGACATTGTATTATGAGTAAGCACAAGAAAATAAAAAAGAAAGAATAAATCCAGTTAGAACTTTAATAGAGAGTTTAAATTGGTTTTAGTTAATGAACACTTAACACTTGTCACTGTTTGGTGATAATGACTTGAAATGTTAATAGTAGCATTATTCAGTAGTGAAATCAGAAATTCATGTATCCACATTCATGCTTGCATCATGGAAACCCCAGTTTTAGTCAGGATACCAGCTGAAGCCCAACAGTGAAGAAAGTGGGGATAGTTAGTATTTCTATTTGGAAGGGTTACGTCCAGAAAAATAAGTACTATAGTTCATTTAGCACTTTTGCATGTCTTATGCAAATAATTTGGTAGGAGAAAAAGCCCATGTATGATATCATTATCAGCAGCAGGTGGTGCTGCTTCTTCTAGTTTAATTGTTTCCTAAAATCCTGAGGATTGATAAACATGTTTAATATTCAACCCAAAGATTTCAAGCATTATGAAACTAAAATGGCACAATCACATTCTGATAAAAGCAACATGAAATATCAGACTACAGATAAAGTCGTTCAGAATATTATGAAGTATCAGTATGCTTTCAGTGGAGCACTTTATGACTGTTGTTTGGTGAGACAATTTAATCAGGCAACTATTATGATTATACAACTTTAACAATATATATTTTTTCATCTTGCACTGGATTTCTATAGAATTCATTCAAACTAATTCTGTAGAAATGTTTATGAATCAAAAGGTAAGTTTTATCTACCGTATCATGCAGTGTAGCTTGCATGTGCTTTATTATATTCAAACTTGTCTCTAAGTGGAAATAGTGAAGAGTATTATATTTCTTATATAGTATTTATTTCAAGTTGATTTGAAATTCTAATCTAAAATTTAAAAAATAATAATAAAAAAGGAAAACAAAAAAAAAAAAAGTGGAATTCATCCTGTGCATGAAATAAGGCCATTGTGCCTTACATTGATAGCACTTTAGTCTACTGGTCTTGGATTCTTTGCCTTTGATCATTACTGAAGTGGACTTTTTCATACCACAAAATTGGTTAATGACAATAAACCAGGAAAAATGGAACATTCATTTGATTTTAAAATGTACAAAGTTACATATTTCACTACAAAACACAAATTTCATGAAATCAATTGTAATTATAGTTATCTGGTTAAACCTTTCTTTAATACAAGAGAGCATGAAGCATGATCCTATTTACCAAGATAGAAGGCAGTTGTTTTTGTTCATCAGGTATTTTGTTGTTGCTTCTCAAGCAATGAGATGGTAGTAACGAATGTAAAATACAGTAAGGTAGAATGTCTTTGATTTAATTAAAAAAATGGTTCATACCTTTAAAAGGTGAAAAACTAAAATAAAATATCAACCAACCATATTTATGCTGCTTCTTAAGAACATGTATCAAGTGTGAATGTAAATATTGTAAATGGGTGTATATAATATTTGTTTGTGGGAAAGAATACTTAGCAGCAGAAGTATGTTCATGATTTTATGACTATTGTGAGCCAAGGTGGCAAAATAAAAAGTTATTGAAGAGATATCAAAATAGTTACAAAAATTTGAATACAGGAATTTACAGTACTAAGTCTTTTCCACTTCTCAAATATTTAAGGGTAATACAGGGAGACATGTTCTACTTACAAAGAGTATCTAATTGACAACTAAATAATTGAAGTCATGTTATTAAATGTCAGAAATCTTCATTCTACTCTGTTTGTATTACCCATTATTATTACTTTGAAGGGATGCTTATACTTCAATAATCTCACTTAACAGAAGTGAGATTTCATTCTTGAGAAGAATGAAATAAAATTCCTAAGTCTATATTTTCAAAATAAAGTACTCAGAGTTTGTATTTTACATCCATACTCAAACAGATTAATAGATTTGCATGATGACAGCAGAGAAGTGTCTTAAAATCAGGTGTGAAAAACAAATATAGGATCTAACTTGTGACACCCATATTACGCAATGTTCTTCTCTTCTAAAATTAGATTCCAATTGGATTATTGAATATAATCCATAAGTAATGTGTGAAAAACAATAAATTCAACTTCTGCATGAGAGGAAAAAGAGGAAAAGCATAATAGACATGCACACACACATGCACATACACATACATTATAACAATTTATATATATATACATATATATAAATATACATATATATATATACACACATACACACACATATTATGCAACTAATGTAAGATTTCCTAATGTAATATAAGCATCAGAGAGGTCCTTCTTGTTTTGGTCTCTGCTAGACTGGTATCTCTTTACTGTACTATATGTAATCAAGTTTCAGATATTCTTATAACACCCTTCATGTAAAAAAAAAAAAAAAAAAAAAAAAAAAGGATTTATATATCAGATACTGTGCGTTTGGACAGTTTAAGTCCAGTAGAATATTACAATGCCGTGACAAGCAAAATGTATAGTGTAAGTTTAGAATGAGTAAAAGCTTTGTGTTAATGACTTTTTTCCTCTTTTAAAACTGAATCTTAATCCAGTTACTTTTTGTAATGCTACTTCCACACATGAATTGGATAATTAGTAATCTCATGAAGGCAAATTCTTTATTTTTCGTGGATTGTACCCAAGTGGAAAAATCTTAATCACTTGAAGGCCTCATCTCCTCCTCCTTACCCCTGCCCCCCAAAATCAAAACAAAGTGAAGCAAAGCAAAACACCCCCCCTAAACAAACAGACAAACAATAAAACTTATTTTGCAATAATGTTTTAACAAGATTTGCTGGGGGAGGGGGAGGGAGGAATTAATGTTGTTTTTGTATAGAAGTTTGGCATTTGGAAGACTTGCTTTTACTGAACAGTATCCTTAAAAGAGGGACCAGTATAGGTTGAGTCCCCAAATAAATTATTAGTATTCCTTTTCAGACTAAAAATAAAACATTTTAAATATATTGATTATACCTTCATCAGAACATCAGTATTCTATCTAGCCTATAGGTTCCAAGAATCTCTATTTGGGCTTAACTTACTATCATTTAAAACAAAACAAAACAAAACAATGAAATGTGTAATTTTGCACATTAAGATGTTCATAGTGACCACATAAACTTAAAAAAAAAAAAAAAATAAAATTCACAGACTGTTAGCCATATATTTCAACTTTTTCTCACAATTTGAAACTGGTGAGAATTAAAAATAACATCAGTTTCACGTTAGGAACATTTTGTTCTTCATTCTTTGTCAACATCAAATGCATTTCTTTGTCCTATTTTTTTTTAAGAATATTTACTTTTGGGGGCATGCCATGAATGAGAAGGTAATCAAGTATAAAGAAAAACTTGTGCTCAATGAAAATCTTCACTGTATCATGCCACTGACTTTAAGCCAAACTCAACACTGATTTCAGTCTAGAGTGTGGCTTAAAAATCTTTGGTACAATACAGGATATCCAGTAGTCTGAACAGGCTTTCATTCATATCCATTGTTCCCTGACTTTAAATGCTTTTCTTCATCTGTATTTCAGACTTGGAGTAAAGATTCAGAACTGCATTTCAAGTCTATGAATTTTTGTGGCATTTTGACTTTGTGGCATTATTCCTGCCCCATCTCCATTAAGATTTCTTTGCCATTTTCAAGTGATAAAAAGTTGAAAAGTTATGGCTAGTTGTATTTCTATTTTAATAACCATATCTATATAATTGTAATTTTCATACATTAAAAAAATATTTATGCTTTCTTTTATATTTTAGTCAAGTACTTTCTTAAACAAAACAATAGCACCACTTTGGCATTTTTGGCCAAATCAGTAAAAGGTAAAGCAAATATGCATACGCTTTTCTGAACTTGTCTTATCATGCACTTGCTTGTTAAAACAGAGCCGAGAAGACACGGTGCTTGCTTGGCCTAAAGTCTTCCTTAATCAACATCCTTGATGCTAACTCAAAAAGCAGTTTATGGCGCAACTGGAAACTACTTATGAATGGAATTTACTTCTGTAAAGAAAGCTTACCACTAATTTACTTGTTTATCTCAGAAAAGGTATTGGGAATGTAATCTGTCTCAGAAAAAATATAGCTACTTTACTGTATGTACAGGGACCAAAAGCAGTATCCCATTATTTGATTTTCTTTTCTTTCATTAAATGGTACAAATCAGACTCATACAAGTCTTTCACACATGTGTACGTGTACATTTACAGGAGAATATAGAATTTATTCACTTGCCATTGAAACACTTAGTGATTAATTATGGTTACTATGGAGACAAGGCTCATATTTTGCTATCTTGATGAAAAATATACATTAACTTCAGTGGGTTTAGATGTGAAGTCCATTTTGATCTAACTGAAAATAATGAAGCTTAATTCACTTTTTTTTTTTTTTTTTAACTTCTGCACATTAGCAACATTCTGTGTAATAATTGGAGTTTTATGTCAATTCTAGAATGCAAAAATCTGTGACTTCCGTCATGTTTTACATGACATGGAAGGATGGCCAGTGGGATTTTCTTTATCACTTAAGTGATTTATGAGAATAAATTGTATCCAGTGGGAGCCCTGTTCCTAAATAACTGGAGTGCTTTTGAAAATCCAGCTGAACCCATCAATTTCTCTAATTAAGAAGTTTTTCAAGTCAGGCTACTTGTACATTTGGGAGGGAGATGTTTTGGCTCATATTTCAACTTCTTTAAGTAGAGGATTTATTGAGATTATTAAGATCATGCAGCCCTGTTCTTTCACACTGATTGGTATATCATGTGCTCACTGCCATATGACTGGAGAATTCTCATGCAAGTATGCATTTTCCATCTATGCATTCTCACCTCTACTGTGGTAGATTTAGTCTCCATTTTGTGATTTTTTATTTTTTATCTTCTAGCAATGCCAAGTGTTGGTTTTGAAGTTTCATTTGAAGCTATTCATTATTTGCTGTTGTTTCCTTCAATAATTGTAATTTGTTTAGATGGTTGTCAAATTCTGATGTCAGGTATTGCTATGAAAGACATTCTCAATGGAGATACATGATGGCATGAATGTGATTGCATGAATCTCAGGATGAGAACAAAATTTGGGTTAATTTACAGGAATTATATGGCAAATAGCTATAGCTATTCAGAAAATCTTCTTAACATTGCATAAGCAAAAAGTTACGTATGAAGAAATTTTCCACCACAGAGATCTGAAAATTGCTTTTTGTGCTCATGGCTTTCCTCCCTCCTCCTCATAGAACTTCAGAACAGGTAGGGACAGAAGGAGTCAAGGTACACAAAATGGAAGTATGTATTATGTTTGTGACTTCAAAATAATGTGTTATTCTTAGAATGCGTTTAAGAATTCTTAACAGCTATTGAAATTAAAACCACTTCCCTCTCCATCCCTCCCACCAAAAAAAAAATGTCTGTTAAGAGCTGTGATAGGTATCAGAATTGTTACCTCCTTGTATTGAATTGGTAGTAAATAATTTAGGTTACCTTTCCCACCTACTTCTCTGTACCTTCTTCCTTTTTTCAACATACCTATCTCAGTCAGTGACAGCTGTGGCAGATTCTTTTTATTCATTTACTGTTCTGCTTTTACAATGTGATAGCAGCCTATTGTGCATATAAACATGCATTTCACAGAAAGTAGAGGGCTTAAAGAATTACACAGGAATACATTGCACTTTTCTTGGAAAAAATATGAAACCCAGATTTCCTAAGGGAATAAAATGGGAACAAGCAAATAATTTGTTAGACTTTTAAGACCTAAATTTTCTATGTTTCACAAGAAACTATTAAAGAGCTGTAAAACATACAACCTACAGAAATTCTTCTCATTTGTATTTTAATCAATTCAGTCATCTACTCCCTTGCATGTAGTAGAAGGTTAGGCAAGTTTGAGCCTTTGAAGAGAAATATTGCCTTTACAGATCTGATCTAACATCTCCCTAATTGCTTCCTTTATACATTATTCTCTATGCCTTCTTTAGAGCTGACAAAGGGATTCTTCTTCCCTTGTCTGAGCTTGCTTGCGTGCAGGGTGGTGAGATGGAAGAAGTCATGTGGAGCCATGCACAGGATGGAGCCATGCATTCTTCCCTGCCTCCTCTTCCTTTCTCACATACAGATTTTTGTTGTTCACCCTGGAACACTTTTGGCTATCTATCCACCTTTATTGCATGGCTAATCTAGCTATGAATTGATTTACAAAAGTGGGGCATAGGAAACAGTACTATTCAAGTTAGAAACAGTGCATTACATACCAAGGTTTTATGACAGAGATTATCTGGAAATATGTATGTGTCTCCTGTAAGAATGCATGAAATGCTAGCTTAAGTAGCAGTCTGAAGGACGTTATGGTTCATGTCTTCTTGAAGACTTTCAACACTAATTTTGTGATTAGATTAGCTTTTTCTGATTTACAGAGAGATGCAGTGGCCTAATTAACAGTCAATTCAGTCACATCAGATTTTGGGAAGAACTGAAATGGTAAAGAACATGATTAACCTTCTGTTACTTTTGAAGAGAATGCTGGTATTTGAGAAAGATTTAGGCCCTGGCACACTACACTTTGAAGTCATTTGAGGACTGTTTTATCATCTTCTCTGACCCTAGTCATCTATAATTCTGTTCATATAACTGTAAGAGAAAACACTACCATTTAAACATCTAAAAGGAAAAAAGCAAAATATCTTTTTTTCTTTTTTTTTTTTTTTTTTTTTTTTTTTTAGGACGGGAAAGTTATTTTCATATTGGAATCTAAAGCCGTTTTAGTTCATTTAAATGAATATTCTTAAAACTATTTTTTTTTTTTTATTCTTTGGCTTCATATTTCCATATTTGCTTTTACCTATTACCGTTTTGGCCAGACCCTTTCATATAACAAACTATAAAATAGCACCGTTGTACTATAAAACAGAGATTTTTACATACTGTTTGATATATGTGTATTACTGATATGCTAAATTTTACATACTGCATTATATGGAGGAAGAAAGAAGTTACCTATACTGTTGCAAATAATTACCTGGAAGAATCATTAATGGTTTGAGAGCCTATGTATGCTTTAACTGCTTTTAAAATCTTTTGTCTCACAAATTGCAATTAACTGCATCTTTGCAAGAGAAAGAAAAATAAAACTGTATTAAAACAAATGTATTTATAACCCATATTCTGTCAAAATGCCACAGATGGAATTAATGGATGTTTAAAACTGTATATGTTACCTTACTGCTGCTGTTACTGGGAATGTCAAACTGTGCAAATATGAAGGGGTAGACAAACAATGTTATCAGACACTGTAAAACAAACAGCCTGTTGCTTGTATAGAAGTGCAAATAAAAAAAACACCACTTAGACAAGGCTGATGAATGACTCCAGCAGCCAGTGTTCATAGGTTAATTTAGTGCAATTGGATCCATCAAAGGCCCATAAATTTGTAGGCTTTTGAGGGGCACAGGACTTTAAGAGATTTTGTGCAGGACATTTAAAACAGGTTAACAAACAGTAATATATCAACCACAGAATATGTTAGCTCTGGGCTGGTTAAAATGTTCTGTTCTCTAAAAGACTTAATATTGGAATGTTTAGTTGCATTGTTCACTGGGAGAATGCCCATTGGTTGAGATTGCATCAAGCTTTTTAACCATAGTTTGTTTTTTTTTTTTAAGTCTTCTGATGTTTAACAAATAATTTATTTACAGCAAAGTATCCTGCAGATGGCACATTCATTCTTCATTCTTGTGGATGGCATGTTCTTACATTCTGTAGTTTCTGTTTCCTGTGTTCCCTCTACTTGTATTCTTCAAATGCACTTCCTGAAGATGTAAAAGAAAAGAAAAAAAAATTATTCCAGATGGGTTTAAATTTTCCGTATTCTGAATGACCACACAACATAGATTAGTGAGAAAACAGTTATCCTGGTTATCCTGAATGCAATGCTGGAGTTATTAGAGCCCTTCTGCCAGTTCACAGAGAACTTGACTATACAAAATTTCTGTACTCTCATTTCCCCATTCTTCTAGGCATAAACATCTTGATTGGTGTCATTGTTGATTTGAGTAGTTACAACATTAACTATATTTTGCATAGTAAGGGTATACAGAGAAACCTTACCATATCGAAACTGTTACTTTGGAGCATTTTGGAAGAGGAAATCTCTTCATACTGGAATCTGGATGGGCTTAGATATGCAGTAGGTACCAAAAATTTTCTTTCTTTTAGAACAACGATATTTGAAAAAGGAGGATGCATAGGGGCCAGGGAAGTTTAAATTTGCAACTACAGGATTTATGGATCCTCCTGGGCTTTGGTACCTAGTGAGTAGAGGTTTTCAAAATTGCTGAGTGGGACTGTTACCTACATGTTGCATAAGCTGCGTATTAGATGTGTAAGGTTTCTGTTGGATAAGGCCTTCAGTGGGGTAAAAAGTGTGGGTTCACTGCAGGATCTGCAGCCAAATCAGTTGTATTTTCATAACCAGAGTGATGTGTCAGGCAAATCAAGAGGGCTTTGGAATGAACAATGCCCTCATTTCACTCTTTCCATACACAGGCCAGGTTCCAGAAACACTAAACGATATACATCTTTAGGTTTGATTTTCTCATTTACCATGCTGGTAAATATTAGCTGGACTCAAATCTTTTCCCATTATGTACCAGACTAGAGGCAGAATTAGCAAGTGACTCTCCATATTTATAGTCCTCATCAGAAGTAAAATTTTTGGTTAACAGAAATTATTAAAAGTCTGTTGTCCTTAAAAATAAATAAATAAATAAATAAAAAGACATACATAAAAAATCTCCCTGAGAAAGGCTTCTGTTGCTCTACCACTGTATTGTCTTCTATTTTAGCTGTAGAAAAAGAAATGTAATCTCCTCTAAACTTTTAAAAGTATTGGAAATATTATCTGCTTTTCCAATAGACAGAAGGAAGATGGGAGCTGATTTGGTGTATTATGGTAGCTTGTTTTTGTTGTTTTTTAATGATTCCTATATACAATATTCTATATACAAGTTTTCCATTGGCTTGTGGTGTCTATTAAACTTAAAATAAATCATAAACTGACAAAGGATCACAAAACTTAAGCTCGCATACAGCTTCTTGATTGTCACTGGCTTTAAATAGTGTTCTGATGGGTATGAGTTAAATTACTATTTTTAGAATATAAAGCCAAACCAAACTAAACCAACAAAACCAACAAGCACTATATTAATCATACCACCACCAAGTCATAACATTGAGCCAAACTAAAAATTATCATCACTGACAAGCCAAATCTGTTAATAATAAAGTATTCATAACGAAGAAATTTCTTTGTTGGAAATCTGTTATTGTAGATGTTCTTATCCCAAAATCCAACACTAAATGAGAAAGAGATGAATCATCTAGTCACTATTTCTGTGATCAGTTCAATAGGATATGGGCTTGGGCTTGTCTTCATCAAATTTTACTTCTAGCATTATGGAATAATTTTCTTAGGATGGGTTGAATATAGAAACAAAAACTTCAACAGAACTCTGCTTATCCAAAAATTATCATTATTATCACCCCTCCTCCCCCCTCCCACACACAAACACACACACACACACATGTTGTTTGATCACTTGTTTCTCTTCCAGTTTTTCTAAAACTACCCTTCTGTCTTTAGTTTTCCCTAATTTGTACCTTAGCTTTCACCTTGAAGCACTCATTCTGGATGAACCCTTCAATTTTCACTGATTTTCATTTAAAGCATCATTGCAGCACTTTTAATGAGTCTTACACTGCTAAGGATCCTGCCTTATGCTACAATGGTTTGTTTAACATTTTTTTCAATGATCTATGTGACAGGATCAAGTGCAACCTCGGTAAGTTTGCCGACAACACCAAGGTGGGTAGAAATGTTGATCTGTTTGAGGGTAGGAAGTCTCTGCAGAGGGATCTGGATAGGCTGGATAAATTGGTCAAGCCTATTGGCATGACATTAAACTAGAGTAAGTGCTGAGTACTGCGTGAGTGACTGGAAAGCTGCTCAGCAGAAAAGGACTTGGGGGTGCTGGTCGATGGCCACCTGATCATGAGGCAGCAGTGTGCTGAGGTGGCCAGGAAGGCCAGTGGTTCCTGGCCTGCAACAGCAATAGCATGGCCAGCAAGACTAGGGAGGTGTTTGTCCCCCTGAACTTGCCACTGGTGAGACTGCACTTCAGATAATGTCTTCAGTTTTGTGCCCCTCACCACAAGAAGGATACTGGCTTGCTCGAGCATATGCAGAGAAGAGCAACAAAGCTGGTGAAGGGACTAGAAAACAGGAGTTGTGAGGGGTGGCTGAGGGAGCTGGAGCTGCTTAGAGAAGCAAAGGATGACGGGAGAGCCCATCATTCTCTACAACTACCCGAAAAGAGGCTGCAGCAAGGAGGTGTCTGTCTATTTTCTCAGGTGACAAGTGAGAGGATGTGGGGAAATGGCCTCAAATTGTGCAAGGGGATGTTTAGAATGGATATTAGAAAGAACTTCTTTATGGAGAGGGTGATCAAGCACTGGAAAGGGATGACCAGAAAGGTAGTGGAGTCCCTGTCCCTCAAGGTATATAAGAGATGTATGGATGTGGTACCAAGGGACATAGTTTAGTGATGGGACTCAGTAGGTCAGACTGATGGTTCAACTTGTTGATCTGGGTGGTCTTTTCCAAACGAGATGATTCTATGATTCTAAGTGTTTATCTCATAACAATGCACTAAGAAGATGGTAATTCCTTGACTCATCTGCCTTGTTTTTTCCTCATAGTAACAAAGCAAAATAGAATCATAGAATCATAGAATATCCTGAGTTGGAAGGGACCCTTAAGGATCATCAAGTCCAACTCTTGACATATAGAATAGCCTTATCACTGCTGGCCCTAGGTTCTCCCTTTTGAGGAAACCTCACCAGGATACAGGAAAAGAATTATAAACTACATGCTATTTGAAAAAAGTGATATATTCTTAAAGGCTGCATACTCATGATCTATAAGAAGGAAATTGAGAGCCTTATTATAAAACAACAGGCTATTTTGCATTTAAGTGATAAATTCTCTCTGATAATGTTTTCTGACTTCAAAATGGCTTAACCATTGAAATAAAGCAAATACCATGACACAGCAGGGTTTCAGCTCTGGCATGTAGATGGCAAAAGAGCTGTCATAACACACAGGGTAGCTTTGAAATTGAGGGGAGATTGCAGTTTGCTTTTAGAGTAGTTAATCTCCTGGAATCAATGTTTTGATCCATAAATACATAGAAGTGGCACTGTTGGTGGTAGCATTAACATGCATGCAGGAAAGTCCTTTGACACATCTAACATATTTTTTCAAAGTACACAATGTTGAGACTATTGAAAACAAGTGTGAATGCCTGAAACTTGCATTTACTCTGCTATAGAAAATTGTGCCTTATTTCTCTAGTCTTTGAAAAAGTAATTAAAAATAAATTAATGATCATGTCCTCTGGTCTGATATTTAGATCTGGACAAAGACAGTAAGCATGTTAAGATGTCAGTTGCAAAACGTCAACTTTGCATAAGTGTTTGTGAACAGAGAAGTACAGACTTTAAGCCTACCACCTTAAACATGGATTTTTGGAGACAGTGCAGCATTAACATTAGGATAACGACTGCCCCACTAACAATGAAGGTCATTTAACTAAGATGAAGGTTACTGGGAAGCATACAGTATCAATCCTATACTATTAGGATGGACTTTCAAACCTCATATTAGCATTAAAAGATCTCTTGCTTTATTGATAATAGATGCGAGGTATAATGTTTGTAGTTTTGTTTAAGATATGATATCTTAGCAGTGAGCGAAGGTCGATCTGAAAGCTTTTTAGTTTTGTGCGTAGTGTGGTCAATAACAAAATAATAAGACTAAAGTAAGCAATGTGTGGAAATAATTTTCTGAAGTGAAAAAGGCCAAGTTCTGCTTTCAATTTTTTTTTTTTTGAAATTACTGAAGTGAAGAAGCCAACTTCTATCTGCTACACCTAAAGCTTCCCTCGCTGTCTTTGATGTACAGTAGCATGGATGTACAACAAATTAGGATTTGCCATTGTGCATATTTTGGTCTGTAAATGTACCTGTGAGTTGATAGAGAGCCAATTACAGAAGATACTGGCAATCTTAGAAAGAATAATGTGAAATAATGCAATATGCTATTTTCTTAATGACATTTTCATAAAGTAAAAATATTAACATATTTACCCCTCTTTCTCAGTTCTGCTTAGTATTTATTTAAATTTGATGATTGGATAAAATCTGAAAGGATTTTAGCTAGCATCTGATCTTTTGCGAGAAACCAGTTCCTGTTGGTACTTCATTGATAATACATTTATGTGTATTTTCCACAAATAAGGCTTAAAGAAGGATAAGGAATAAAAATTTGAGGAAGACCAAAATTATATCATGAGGTAAGCCTCTTTGGTCTTTTTGCTTAGGTTGCAAGGTAAGGACATGAAATTACCTGAAATTACTTTGTTTTGTTTTGTTTTGTTTTGTTTTGTTTTCTTTCCTTCTTCTTTATTTACTGGATTTAACCAGCCTTTGCAGTATTGACTTCATGTGTTAATTCTCAAAGTATCTTGTAGTCTTATTGGTAAGAACTTTTTGCCACTGGTTTTATGACACTGCTTAATTCCAATTCACAGTCTTCCTTTATATACACAATTATTGTGGAAATAGCTTGATTTCCTTTTCTTGAACAGAGAACAGTTGTTTTTCAAAGCTCTGTTCACCAGTTTTCCAAACTGCTGTTAAAACTCATTTCACTTAAGGATAAATAGACTCAAAAAAAATATTTTTTTTTAGC